GGGGGGGGGGGGGGGGGGGGTTGAAATCATGGTTAGCGAGTTCTCCCGGTCTGCATTTTAGTCAGTTTGGACGTCATAACACAACAAAAGGTTCACGGGTGTTCAGGTATGAAATGGATGGGGAGGATAGATTGAGATTGTGACATGAAAATACCCACATTACATTTACAGAGTTTCTATAAACTGGCGATTTATTTATTCACATATGCTGCTCAATTGATCCACGCTCTTTGGTCTCAATGATTCCACTTGCAAAAATGAAATGTGCTCTATACTACTAACACTTCATTATACAACCGTCCGTAGGCATAACTTAGGCTTTGATCTCAAACGTGCCTGAATACTCTCAATCTATCTTCTGTCCCTCGAGTCTTTTCGTCCACTTACGATAAGTACAACAGGACTTATAGGTTCCTCAACGGCGCGTCTCAGTTCTAGTATTTAGATACGAAAGCACGAGCGCTACACTTTATTGTTCTCTCCTCACTTCTCTCCTCACTTCTCTCCTCACTTCTCTATCTGCCCCTTTTACTCTTCTCTTTTCCTTTTTCCGTCTTTTCGTCCCCTCTCTTCATTTACTAAAACTATTATTTATCTTAATTAAAATATTTCGAAGATCCTAGCGTCTCACACCAGCAAGGACTAATTTTCTTCCACGATAACACAAACAATCCTGCTTGAAACTACATAACGGACAGTTCCAGGTGGGAGTTAATAGGTTTTAACATCTTTCATTTAATCTTCTGGCAGCGGCGATGAAATATGACGGAGTGGCTAGCTGGCTCTCACAATGGTTAAGGTACCGTAAATCGCTAAGCTGAATCTGAACCTGAAGCGAGCGAGTCCCTACCTACCTACCTTACGAGCTTACCTACTTATATCCTGTAATAAGACAGGCAAAGAGGGAGACAGGGAGACGGGTCATATAACCAGCCATACAGGTAGCTAAGCTAGCCTTACTATATATGATAATAGCCATTTTTAGTTCTTTTTTATTTTATTTATTTTCTTTCAGTTTCCTTCGGAATACCCTTCTGAAAGAAAATAGGGGGTTTGACAACGGGTCCGCCAACCGACCACGGGTTGACTATTTATGGCAGGGGCCGGGGGGCCGGGGGGTTACTTGTCGGGTGAGCTGCTCAGCCTCAATTTCAAGGGGAAGGTTAAGAGCCTACCATAGCACCTACCTAGGTTAAGGTAGAGCGAGTGAGATGGATATAGAATGCTCACTCACGTGGTTGGAAAGTTCATGTGTGCAAAAGAGTTAGTATTGGAGTTGGCAGGTAGCGTGTTCGACCATTACGCAATTGCGTCTTATATTATCCGTGAGTAGAGGACGTGAGTGGCTCAGATGGATTGTTTATGTACGGTTGGCAGGTGTGACTAGGAAGGAAGGTAACTGAGCTAAATTATACGGATATGTAACTGCATTATAGCATTGTCATAAGTGGTAGTTATAGATAACCAGAGTGGAAGCTGGTGAATATGTGAGAGGTAGGTTAAAGGATAGACTCTATTTCTGACATCACCCTCCTTTCCCTCCATTCGCTCTCCCAGCTACTAACGAGCCATACCTCCCCCGATCCCCTTCCCTCCAACCCATAACCAAAAAAAACAAAAAACAGACAGATATCCGCCACACCCCGGGTTAAACACATGATCCCATTCCCAACTGTGTCCTTCTCCTCTTCCCCACCCCAGTGGGGACACCCATATAAGCAACATAACGCAACATTATTTCCCACCATAAAAGGACCGTTACTTCGAATGAATCACCAAGCTCCTTGCGCATCATTAACATCACCCGATGCGACGCGGCTTGTAATCCATTCGTGGCCCTTTCATTCGCCTTCTTACTTCCTTCCCTTGGTTCCTTTGCTTCTCTCCTTGGGCTCTTCCCTATTCTTGTCCCAACCGAGACCGCCTGGTTCTAAATATATGTGCAGTGAATGTGTGAATGTACCATGTACGGATAAAAGCAGACGCTTTTCTGTGTGATTACGCGTTGCCGTATCTGGAATCGGAACCGCCCCTCATACCATCGAAACCAGCTGGCTGATGTAAGACGGTGGCGTGATGATCAGAAACGACGAACTGCATTCCAACCCCCTTCTGAATCACTGACGCGGCTAGCTTCCAAAAAGCGAAGACGGAAAAGGGTAGCTAAAAAACACCAACGAACGTTTCTGCCGAGCGAAAAGAATAACGATAGCGCGGCTCGAACAGTCAAAATGGGTATCCTGTGTGCGGAAAAAAACGACGTGTGAACCATGATATATAGCGGTCGAATAAGAGATAACCAACGACGACCATCGACAACTAGCTTTCCTCCTTTAAAAGTTCTGCGAGATGCCTGCCGTCTGCTGGGGGTAGTGAGCGGAATTCTCGATGCGAGTGTTCCTCCTCGCCACGACATCTCGAATGACCGGAGGTCCTGCAGGAGGGGCAAAGTTGTTGGGGGGAACCGGTCCGTTATAGGCACCCTCGGCGCCGTTGTATGGGTTGGCGATACCGTACTGCGGCTCGTAGTAACTCTGTGTTCCTCCATAGGCAACTCCGATAGGGGCTTCGTCGGACTCGTCAGAGCGGGCAGCTGCGCTATAATGCGACGATGCGTTTGAGGGTCCTCGGTGAACATTGGCGTCTCTGTTGTCACCGGCCGAGGGTCCCATTGCTCCCAAAATCTCGCCTTCGGGCGAAGGCGGTTCAATCAACGGCTCACCAGATCGTGCGTCGGATACGGTTCCTCGAGTTGGTGATGTGGCGTCGGAATAAGCAACGCCGGGCATGCCACCACCAGAGATGGTCGTCGAAGCCTTTCTTCCAGCCGAACTCGCGAGAGTTGTAGAGCCCCAGCCTCTGTACCCGGACGTTCCATCCTCCCTCATCTCGTACGCTCCACCAGCACCATCACCGGCAACGGCAGGTATCGTAGGGTCGCTGTTGGGATTGTAGCCATAGTCTTCCACCTCCCTTCGCCTCTGCTCCTCGGCATCCCTCCTTTGCTTCCGCTTTCTCCAGAGGAAGATACCCGCCAATACCAATAGGGCAACAGCGACAATGGGCACCACTACCGCAATGGCAGTTTTCCCGCCTTTTCCCAACCCGCCACCGCCAGAGGAAGCATCCTTAGTAGGATCAATGGCACCGGCCGATGAGGTTGTCGATGGACCGGAGGTGGTAGGGTCCGCGGAGGGTGTTCGTGTCTCGGTAGTAATGATTTGCGTAATCTTGGTTCGTGTTTCCCCTTCAGTCGTGATAATTTGGACACTGGTAAAGGTTTTCGTTCCAACCGACTGTGTAGTGGGGGGCGGTGTCGATGTTGTTGACGGAGGCACAGCTATGGACGAGCTTGTTGTTGGTTGCGGTTGAGATGTCGAAGTAGCGGGTGTCGATGATGGTGGTGGTGGTGGTGGTGGTGGTGGTGGTGGTGGTAGTGGAGACGAGGAAGTAGAAGGAGTAGGTGGCAAAGCCGAAGAAGTCGTTAAAGTAGGAGGCGGCACTGGTGGCACTGAAGTGCTGCTGATGATAAGGGTCGGCCCCGTGCTGGAGGGGACATTGGCCGTTGCTGTATTCGGGTCAGCAGAAGCTCCAGGGGCCGTTGTTCCCTCCGGGCTTGAGATGCCCGTACTTGTGCTGTTGCTGGACATGTTGAGAACCTGACGTTCCAACCGTGGGAAGTCCCTTCTGATCCGGGGTGTCATGTTAGCGATATGAACTCCAGAAAATGCTCATTGGGATGCATGAGAGAGTGCATTTGAAAAAAGGTCAAGAGGGAAAAGAGAAAAGGAGAAGCCATCAAGGCGCCGAAGGCTCCGAGATAAAGCCAAGCGCAAACAGTTGAACATTGTTGAAGTGAGAAATATGGATTGACCAGACAGTGGAAACCACGGCTAGTGCCCAAGCAAACGTACCTTTTGATGGGCTGAACCCTAGTCCAGCGTGCAGTTAAAAAAGCAATCGGTCGCGGTTTGCGAGAGGGTCTCTTGGACTTTGATGGGGAGTTGTTTGAGGAGTTGAGGCGCGAGATGGAACGAAGACCGCTCTCTGGCTGGATATAGCGTGATGCGGATCAGTCACCTAAGACTAGCGGCTACTCGGCTGGCCGACAGTTCTGGGCGTTGAGTCGCAGACGCAGGGGCAAACGCAGAGGGCCCCGGGCGATCAGCTATTGGGCGGCAAAGGACAGGCTGAGAGAGCTGAAAAGCAAAGACAGCTTTAGGGAAGCGCAGGGCGGGTTGCGCGGTAGTGATTGAGACCCAGGCTGTCGTGTATCGGACTGGACTTTGTTGGTGTTGAGGATGTTGTTGGAGAGAAAAGTCGGCGACAGCGGTAAAACGGGGTGACCAAGAGACTCTGGGCGCGGAAGAGCGACGGAGTGCTTGATGTACAGTACTGTGTAGGGTGAGGACCAGCGATGGACAGGGGGCGGGCTTTGGCGAGATTTTGGACCGTTGCCTTTTGAGTCTTGGGCTGCAAGTTGGTGTTCCAATGGTGTGTGTCTTGGTGGGTGATGGTGGGCGGCGTTGGAGCTAAGCCAAACACGATGGTCCGTTGGCTGTGTGTAAGCCGGTTCCGTGGTGCTTCCGGGAGTAGCACGAGTTACCTCGGAGGGCGATGCTCCAGGTTCTATCACTGCGCAATCCAAAAGAGGCGGTACCACGGTCAAAGTCACCCAGGTAAATGTTCTGGATTCGGATGGTGCGAAGCCAGTGATGTGCTATCGTTGTGAGGAGAACCTAGTAAGAAGTGGAATGCCTCTTTTTCCAGTTTGGATGTTCTCCTTCTCCGATTGCCGTTTGATATCCTCCGTCTATATGGTGTAGAGGTAGGTATGCTTCCCGATGCCACTTCTATCTAGTGACAGCCCAGGAAGGGATGGAAGTGGAAGGCGGGAGTTGAAATTACAGCCGAGTGTCTGTGCCCGTTATGTTGGACAAGGTGAACTGAACTGACGTCTGTGAAGTTGGGATGAACAGTTTCCGCAGAGTCTCTGAACGCCGCGGACTGTGCGCTTTTTTGGTGGGGCGGGCGAGTATCACTTGAGTGCCGATCGGTGGGTGCCACAAAACAACCTCAAATGAAAAGAAAGCCAGACCGCTCGCTTCCAGCAGGAACCTAACAGGGCAGTGGTGGTGGCAGGATTGCGGTGCAGGTTGGCAGGGTGCAGTGCGTGCGTGCGTCCTGTGTTGCTGTGCAGGTGTGATTGCGATTCCCTTGCACCTCAGGGCAGTCGGGTGTCCAAAGGAAGTCGATGGAAATTACCAACAAATGGTGCTCCCGAAACTCGGAGATATCCCAAGGTCCTGGAAATCTGGAAATCTGGAAATTGTACCCAAGATGACCCAAAACAAAGTTTACAACAAAAAAAAAAAGAAAAAAAAAAAAAAAAGAGCCAGAGCACGGGTCAATGACGTGAACCGGAATATGATTTCGTATTCTGAAAGAGAAGCGAGAGGGTCTGAGAGAGAAAACAGGAAGACAGGTCGCCGCGAACAGGGGACCATGTGCCTGATGTACCTCTGGCCACCAATGCACCCCGAAAAGGTACCCGGCCCCGTAAAGAGCACGAGAGAACCGCGGCTCCACAAGGCGTGGATGCTTCTGTGGATGCCATCAACGGACGAATCCAGCAACTGCGAAGGAGCGAGGTGGACCTGCTGCATTCCATCCATTTCAGCGCTTCTGGCAATCGCGATGGCCTTGTGATGGCACGCTAGCCCGCTGGAAGATGCCCAATTTGTTTCACTGCATTTGGTTTTTCACTGCCAGAAGAGAGAATCCGGCAACAACGGCACACCAACAAATCCTCACCTGCCCTGTCCGGTCCGGGCATTCCAGGCAATTTTGGACTTGGCACAAGTCACAACCTCGTGTAAGACGAAAGCAGGCGGAAACATTGGACGAATAATTGATCCCATCTGTCGAAAATAGCTGCAGGTCACAGAGATCTCGTTGGGATCGCGAGAATATCAGATGGACGGACCCTTTGGATTTTGGACCCTTCTTTTCCCGTCAGTGCCGTCATGCGTTTTCATGCAAGTGCTCTCCAAGGACGCAAACCACAACAGGGACTCCCTTTGGAAGGATTTGTTCATCCAAACCATCCCGGCACATATCACCACCATATCAACAAAGACGCCGAGGTAAGCCTCCAGAGGGTTTGTCCAAAATACCAAATTCGCGCAGGCTACCAGATACAACCCAGTTTTTGAGCAGTTCAATCAATTCACCGTCAGCAATGCATTCAGCTCTTTCTCATTGACGAGAAGCAACCCAACGGAGAACATACGAGAAAAAGACTTCAATCCTACATACCCCGCCAACACCAGAAGAAGAAGAAGAAGAAAAACAAAAAGAGGACTTCCAAAGTCTCAGTCTCCACCAACTCCAATTGCAGTGGCAGATTGTCAATCCAAAATCGCAATGGACGACAACATGACAGAAAAACAAACATCAACAACAACAAGATTCACGGGTCTGGTATATCACCACTTATTATACCCTTCAGGCTCATACCTACGTCAACGTCATTCTCCACTACTTCTGCCACAAGTTTTCGGTTTGCCCAGAAATCCCAGCATCCGATCCCAATTCCCCATTCAATGCGATTTCATCGCTTTCCGTACCAGGTAGCTACAGTTTCGTACTTTTCGCTCTTCACTTTACTCCTTTCCGCACTCTCACTTTCCCCTTCCTTTAAATCCTTTACTTTTGTACAGGGCGATAAGTTCCATTTTAGTTTATAGCGCGGTAAGGCTTCATTCATGCTACCATGAAATATCGTTCGGCGACCTCCGATTGAACAACACCAAACAATGCCAAACTCTTCTTCTAGATCGTCCGCATTTGTCGTCCGCCTGACCAGGAAAAGCTTTGGCATGTACGGTAGGGGGAGGAAGAGAGAAATTAAACAGTTCCATCGATCCCCCATGGGCATGCCGGGGTTGTTGTTGGTGTTCGGGTTTTTCCCTACACTACACTACAATTCAATTTTAATTCCAAGCCGCCAGCCTCACAAAAATGGGGCAGGATTCCCCGGTCTTGGCAAAATAGACCCGAGCTAGCGGATGACACCGGGACTGGGAGGAATTTGAGTTGACATGAATGACGGGCCGGTGACAGCTGTGAAGTCGAACGAACGGTCTTAATTGATTTCTTCACTGTCACTTAAAATCGTCACCGTCGCCGTCGCCGTCGGACGTCATAGTAACAATTGGTAATAGCCTCAACTTTCTGCATGTCCAAAGTTTTTACACTTGCCTACCATAGTGGGGGATCGATCATCTCCGACATCCTACAGCGTCCGCATATACAAAACTTGTGCTGCTATAAAACAAAAACAAGAGGCGGTGTCTCTCGGGCTTCACTTGAGCAACTCTAGCAACACAGTAGACACAACAAGATCACGGAAACTCAAGTTCCCGTACGATCTGTATGTAGTGTACCTGCATCATCATCCATCCAGCAATTCAATTCTCATTGCAACAGATTTTCATCATCTGCTTTCAACCAACCAACCACCACTTGATACTGGTACACTAAAGTGAACTTGACGAAATGCACATGAGTGGCGAATACACGCCTCTAACGCCTCTGAAGATAAAAATATCCTACTGAGCCAACCTCCTACACGGAACTAAAGAACGTCAGAATGTTACGCACGCTGGCACGTTATGAGGCCCAACCGCCGTCAACTAACCGACAACCAAAGTAGAAGCGATCAGAACAATCCGAAGTTTAAACCGAAAAGATCAACGACCGTCTCAAGTGAAGCCGTAGCATCGTATCAATTACAGATTCATACACTACTGGAACATAGCAAGTTCCCATCCAATTGCGTCCACGCACAGGAACCTTAGGAAAGGTTCGTCCATTCAGCTCTCCGGCTCTCGGAACGTCCCAGTGGCGTACTGTAGGTACCGTGCGGTGATACAGAAGGAAGATGCGCGCATCCTTTCGCCATTCGACTGTAGTGTAGTGGAATGTTTGGCTTACCATCTATCTGTACGTGTACGTGTACACAGCCTCACGAGCTGACAGGTGAAGGAGGGAAGGAGCCACGAGGCACGGCTGATGGCGTCGGTTTCTAGAAGTCTGTGTGATTTGATGCGTTTATCCGTCCTGTCCCCGCCGTCTGCTTGGAAAGAGACAGTGGAGTGATTTGGTTGGTTGGTTCGTTGCTGCTGACTTTGTTGTTAAGATAACGTTACAAAAAGTTTATCGTGACGTGACAGGTTGCATGTTACACCAAAAGATCAAACTTGAAGGAGTAGGTGACGTGTGGTGAAGAAGATGGAAGATAGCTTGATGGTTATGATCGGTTGATTTGGTTGGGAGGTATGGAGGCTTTTGGAGAGCAAGGAAAAGAGAAGAAATAAGTTGGAGGCTAAAATAATGAGGAAGAAAAAGATAATGAGAAAGTCAGGGAATGTAGAAAAAGTAAAGGGGAATTGAAGAAGAGCTGAGAAGAGGTGTGAAGAGAGGAGTAAAGAGAGGAGTGAAGAGACAAAAAGGAAAGAAGAGCTTAAAATGAACAGAAAATGAAGATAAAGTGAAGAAAGAAAACATGGTAACGAACAGCAGCTGTACCGATAAAATATCAATGACATCATCATTTCAACATTTATTTACTAACAAACCCCCTATGTGAATATGAATTACCCTCGCAATCATATTCGTCCCCTTCTCTTCATCCCGCAACTATACATCAATATACTCATTGAACCTCAACACGCCATTACTCTTGAGCAACCCATCCACCCCCTTGGGCAGCTTAGGAAAGGGATCCGCGCCCGCCAGTCCTCCCAACGCACCGCTGATTCCCAGCTGCTTATCGTTGTCTGTCGCCTCAGGCTCACCAGACTTGTCCACCACCAGTGCTAAGCCGTGAGACTTGATAGCGTCAACCAGTGCCGGCACCATGTCCTGTAGTTAGGCATAACCGTTAGCGACAAAGATGCACTAGAAAAAAAGCGAAAGAGAAAGAGAAATACTTACCAACAACCTCGAAGAGCAAACCAGCCCCATCAAGTTATTGCTCGTCGCCGTCCTCACCACATCCTTAATCGAGCTTGTCCTCCTTCCATCACTCTGCAATATCCTTTCATCTTCTCCGCCCGCTGTGGTGTCCTGCTCCTGTCCACCACCACCACCAGCAGCAGTAGTAGTAGTACTAGTCCCACCCATATCCTCATCACCATCACCACCCTTGTTAGAAGATCCTTGTTTCAGCTGCTTCTGATCCCCTCTTCCCAAATCATTGCACAAGAACACCGGGAAATTCGGTTGCTTCCAGTTCAATGCCGTGCACAAAGTAGGATTATACGAACTAAATACCACCGATCGCACGCTATCCGGTCTCTCAGCCCTCTGGGCACGGGCATGGTCGAAGACGACGCTGAGGATGGCATCAGCGAATTCGTTGACGTCGTCCGCGGCTGTGCTGCTGTTGGCTTCGGCCTCTTCGTCAGCTGTGGGGTACAAGACCTGGACGTTGACGTGCATGCCCTTGGGGAGCAGGAAGAGGGCCTCGTGGAGACTAATGCCCACGGTGGCGAGAATACGATGGACGTCGGCTATTTGGTCGAGGGTGTAAGCGGATAGTTCGGAGAGGTTGATGTTGTTCCTCGCGGGCGCGGTGACGGTCTGGAACTGGGCGAGGCTAAGACGAGACACAGGTACGTCAATACCGCCGCAGTTGATAGTCCATCTGGGCCAGAGCACGGGAACCCCGTCCTTTGTGTGCTGGACGTAGATCTGGACGAAGTCGCCTGACAGACTGGAGCCGGTGACAAAAGTGCTCGTGTTCGCGTCAAACTGGCTGGTGGCCTTCCAGTATGTCTCAAAATCCGTGATTTCAAGCGGCGTTCCGCTGAAGGGCTTGATGATCTGCACATGGAAGCTGATCTGGCCGATAGCGCGCAGACGAGGGTCAAATAGTGGCAGGCAGACCTTGCCCGAGCTGCTGAGCAATGCACGGAAGATGTTTGGTAGAGCAACGGTCTTCGCGATGACCTTGGCGCCATACGTCGGGAATACCTCAAAGTCCAGAGTGAAGGATTCAAGGTTGTCGATCTGGAATGACGCCACCCTAGTGTCCTCCTGGAAGGGAAGAATAATATTCTTCGGGATAAGGTCCGAGGACTTGGATGAGATTGTAAGGCGGGCGGCAGGATACTTGCCGTCTTGGAAGAAGAGGAGAGGTTGTTCGCTGTCTTCCTCAAAGCTGATTTGCACAACAGTCTTGGTGTCAAGGAAGTTGTGGCCATACCGGCGTAGGGGAATGATAGGGGGTGGTAACTCGAGCGCGGGAATGGGGTCGATCGCATCAAGGGACATGGGCATCGGCGCGGTGCTGCTAGCCATGGGAGGCAAAGATCTGCCAATGTGTATAGGTGGGAGTTGGCTGGCAGCTTTCTCCTTTTTGGCCGGTGTGAGAAGCTTCATACATTCGAGATGCCCTTCCCAGGCTGCATAGTACATGGCGGGGAGGTCCTTCTCATCGAGAATGTTGGGATCTGCGCCGATATCGAGCAAGGCCTGCAGACATGGGACGTTACCCTCACTTGCTGCATGAACCAACGGGGTCCAGCCGTAAAGCTTGTCAATCTGATCAAGATCGGCTCCGTACTGCTTAAGCAGCACGAGAATCTCTGGAGTTTGTCCTGATCTTGCAACCAAGTGTTGAGGGTAGAGACCCTCGGCGTCAGCAAGGATCTTGGCTCCGTGCTTGAGGAGAAGCTCGACGATGGCCACCGAACCATGTTGACAGGCAAGATTTAGTGGTACGTGGTCGGTGTCGGACGCCGGGTCTATGCGAGCAGACCTTCCGAGTAACCTACCGACACACTCGAGATGGTTATGGACGATGGAATGGACAAGGGGCGTGAAGTTATCGTGATCGATCAGATTGATCGTCTTGGGGGAAGCTACAGACGAAAAAGTTAGTTATGTACAAGAGAACAAGCCAATATCTGAGGAGAGGGTGGGCATACCATTGAGCAGGGCGTCAATCATGTCGAGACGCCCATGCATACTGGCGTAGTGCAGAGGCACACGTCCATACGCATCTGTCCTCTCTGCGTCGACCCCTTTCGACAGGCCGTATTCGAGAACAAATGAGTTGCCGTAAATGGCCGCCTGGTGAAGACAGTTCCGCTCATTAATATCATCCCACGACTGAATGTCAACAAGCCCTGTGTCGAGGAGGACTTTGAGGGTTTCAAGTGAGCCTTCGTTGATGGACGCAAGAAACGTCCGGGTAACTCGTTCCGCTAGGGAGACATCTACAGAGCCATCTGGTGCTGCTGTGGCCTTCATACGGTCCAACATATCTTTGAGGGCATCGATGTTCCCCGCGAGAACAGTGTCGAGCAATAACGTATCGGCATCGCCCTCATCAGTCCCGAGGAGGTTTTGAGTGCTGATGACATGGTCTTCCCTTGTCTCGAAGCTGACGTTGTCGCCATCAGCCCACGCTCCCAGTTCTTGTAAACTGGTGGTCGCTTGGTCTGACAGCTCGCTGATAACGGTTGGGTTAAAGGCCGGCCGTTTCTCGACAACTCTTGAAAGATACAGCTCCTTTGTCTTGGACTTTGCTGTCTTGTCCCACTTCTTCAGGATTTTAGAGAAAGCCGTGCCGTTGATCTCGACGAACTGTTGCAATTTGTTCAGATCGTTCACAAACTGCTGGAAACCCTCTTGAAGAGTAGTAAACTTGGTAGATCGCCGTGAAGTTCCGCCGCTTCTTGACCGTAGGGCCTTCTTCTTGTCAAGAAGAGTCTTGAGCCGAATCTTGAGCTCGGCTTCTTTCTGCACATAGCAAGCGTTGACCTTGTCCAACTCTCTGTCCTAGACGACTGTTAGTAGCGCACACCGTTGAAAGGATAGCCTACGTACTATTTGGAAGAAAAATGTGGCCCTGTTGGCCTGAAGGGCGGACTGGGTATCTAGGTGTTCGCCTGGTGCACGCCGAAGATCCGTTTGCGGGGGAAGAATAGGGGTCGCAGAGAGCTTCTTGATAAGCTATAAGTCGAAGCGTTAGCAAACAGTGAACCGTATCTTGTGAGGGCCCGATGTGGCTGTCAGAATTATGACAGAGCCAAGAATGTTGATGTAAGCCCCTGAATCCAGGCTTGGCAATATCATGATAATGCGAGTGAGTAACGACAACATGCGTAACACATACCTTCTTGAGAGCTTTGTAGTTCACGAAGCTGGCAGCATACTCGGGAACCTCGAGTTGCCGCTTCTGTATTTGTTTGCCGAACTTCCTGTAATGTCATTTGGTCTTAGCGCCCAACGATAACGCATGAAAATGAGGGAAGAAGTCTTTCATCTCATGCCGATGAGATCGGAAAAGTGAGACTAGAGATCGAAGACTCACATCGTGCTTAGAGACGGCTACTGACGTGCAGAAGCCTGGCGATGCGGTAATGGGGTTGGTGTTTTGTGGTGAGACAATGCCGGTAGTTGACCTTACGGGTTAGCACATGAACAGCTGGGATAAGCCAGCGAGGGAACACAAGACCGATATCACGAGAGATTCGGTTTGGTGATCAGGTTCCGTGCCTGGGGTGATCTGTGATCTGTGTGTTAGCTAACAGGTCTTTGCAAGATGTGAAGTGGTGGAAATCCAGCCATAAGAGTGTTTGGGCACATACGATCAGTTTTGTCTCCTAATGTCGGGTTTCCTGCTCACAGGATGAGACCGGTAATGAGGACGTTGTGGAGGAACGAGGTCAAAAGTCGAGCGCCAGATTTGCCTTCGTGGGAACGCGAAGCTTTTGAAGGATCAGGTATGGAGTCGACTAGGACCGTTACTCGTAGAAGGCGCTAGCTAGGTCGGAATTTGAAGCTTGAAAGGTCGGGAACGGAATCCGGATAGACGGGAGGTGGGTGAGTGAGTGGACGAGGGGGAGCTTCAGATATGCACTGTTGCAGTGAGGTGAGTGGTCTATGGAGGATGGAGTAGTACAAAGTACTTTGGGAAGCTCTCGTCTCAAAACGATGACCGAGTCTGGGATGGATCGAGAACCTTTGCGGTTGGCTTGGTGATGAGGGCCTCGGGCAAAGCGAAAACAGTCGAGGGTGGTTGAGACAGACTTCTTCAACCGAGCAGCTTCCAATGGTCCTCGTAAGCTCCAGTCAAGCTTTTGAGTAACCGGGGAGAAAAGGGAAGAAGAAAAGCTTGAAGGATGGAAAGGGAAGCTTAAGGTACCCGAACTAAGGTGGGCGGGTGTGTTGAAGTGAGTGCCTGGTTGATGAGGGCCCGGCGGGTGGTTATCGATAGCGAAGTGGAAGCAATCAAGGCGCTGGTTGGCAGGGTTGATGCTGCCGCCGTCAGTGGGCGCCAAGCCACCGGCATCTTGGGAAGTTGGGAGCTCCAGCAGGCCCCGGCCATTTGGAGATCTTAACAGGACGGTATCTCAAGCAGGCGTAAATGCCCGCCAACTGACGTGCATTCCTGTTAAGGATACCGTAGACTTGGCATCCTTACCTCTGAACCTCAAGTACCGGCCCAGTATCAACACTTGTTCTTCTCACACCCATCTTGAGACATGTCACTCATGTGCAAAATGCGTGTTTGTAACGAGCAAAAAGTCTCGTGAGCAGTTTGTCGTATCTTGAGAGGTCAATCGAGCGTACGGTATGTAGCACGGGTTACCGCAATTGGGGTTCCATCACTGATTCTGAACTTCCAGTCCATGTCATTAGCAGGTACCGGCATCCATCCATCAGCTGTACATAGCCCTCTCGCCGGTTACACCTCCCAAGTCCCAACACGGTGACAAACAACGATTGGTTTTCGGCCGTATGAGAAAAAAGGGAGGCCCTGCTCAGAGTAGTTCGCATGCTTCGCTTCTACAACAAGGAAAAGCGGAAAGGTCGAGAAAAGAATCCAAGCTGGTTGATGTCGTCCAACAAGCCAATGGGAAGCCGTCATTGTGCCATGTGCCTGTGTTACAAGGCTGATTGATGAGCAAGTCGTTGCGAAGAGGGGCATCCCATGCTGGAGCAAGCTCCAGTAAATGCGGGGCAAGCATGTGCTGTTGTCCGCTGTTGTGCATAAGTAAGGTATCCAATGGACCGGATCTCATTCAAGGGGCCGGTTGGCCATGAGAGCATTCAGAAGAGTTGTGGTAAAAGACAGAAACATTGTGTAACAACCTTGCCCTGCTTGTAAGAAAAAAGTAAGAAAAAGAGATGTGATGCAACCCAACAGCTTAGTCTACCCACCTCTGGTTTCACGGCTACCCCCAGCCAGCTTCCAAACACTAAACAGACATCTTGATTCGACAAATTACACAAACTTGCTATTTCCTTGAGAACAAATGCTGTAATTCTTTACTTTGCCTGCTCAGTCTTCTTCGTCTTATCACCCTCCACCAAGCTATCACCCATAGCATCAGCCGTCGCCTGCCTCAACCTCTCATGGTCCGCATCCGTAGCTGTCGTATCCTCCATCTTGATCTGACTGCTGCCAGACTGGTTACGCTTATGGCCATGTTCGAACTCGTCGTCACTGTCTCCCAGGCTAAACGGATCATTGTCCGCGATCGGATTCGGGTCAACTGACGAAAGAGGTTGCCATTTGCTTGTCTTTGTTGCTGATCCAGCAGCGCTGCTACCTCCATGGGCCGCAGCGGCATTGTCCTTGGGCTGGATCCTCGGTGATGCGTCGTAGGCGTTGATGTCTTCCACCGTATCTCTAAACGACACCTTCCTGCCGTCTGAGGATTTGGGAGACTTGGAAGGCGGCGGTGGCCTGAAGGCATGAGGGTTGCCGTATAGCTGCTGATGTGTGCTTTGGGCGGTGTAGGGAGCTTTTGAACATGTTAGCAACGGTCGCGCATCAGAGCATCACAAGAAAACTTACTGCCGTCATTGTTGAATTTCATGCCCGCAAAGTCGTCGCTGAGGATGGTCGGATCAGCATCATAACGGTCGTAATCTGCGCTTCTACGTTGCTGATTCCGGGTTGGTCTTCCGATGAACGCATTACTCTCGTTTTGCCGACGCTGGTCCTCATCCTCGTCAAAGGTCTCGTCGATCTTCTTCTTGATAGTCGTAAACCACGAGTTGACCTTGCTCTGCGTCTCAATAAATCCCTTGCGCAAGCTCTCTTTGATAACAGGCAAATCGTCATCAATGAAACTGTGCTCCCGATCATCGTACAGCTCGTTCGGCTTCAGGCCGGTCTCCTGCCGAGGGCGCGGAGGCATATGAGGTCCACGTGCACCAGTGGGCCCATGAGAAGCGCCCGGAGTTCCGCGGTTGGCAGTTCTCGCCTCATATGCGGCAGTGCTCTCGAAATGCTCCGCAAGTTGGCGGGCGTATATCTCGTCGGCCTCCAGCTGGGATCTATCGGTGGAAGTCGGACCACCCAGCTGTTGCGCCGCGGGTCTCGGGGGAGGCGGCGGGGGTACGTCATCGTTCTGAACTGCATCCGGATCCGTCATCTCCAGGAGAGCGTTGAAGGCAGGCTCGATCTGGCCGCGGCTGGCCCTAAGGACCGCCTTGATAACAGAAGGTTCGATGGAAGGGAATGCCTCCTTCAGGATCTGCTGGTTCTTTTGCTCCTCGGTCAATGGGCGTGGAGGTTTCGGCGGAGGGTTTTCGTCAGAGGCAGATGCATTCCGGGTGGTACCAGTCGTTGAGGTGTCAGTGCCCCCCAAAGGGACATTCTCCTGAGCTTCGTCGTCATCCATTTCGAGCGGTCGAGCTGTCGTAGGGGATTCGGGCGCGGGTTCTACCGTTGCGTGCTTGGACTGCTCAACGAAGGAAGGTTAGATTAAAATACCAGAGGGTTTCGAAGGTCTGGGGACGGGCGAGTTGGATCTGCCGGGTGCTCCAAGATCACCCTGAGTTCCGGTGGGGGGAGAGGGGACTTACAACACTGCTGTCGGTTGGCGCAGACATGATGGGCCACCTGGACTCCTGGAAAACGTTTGGTTCTATTGATGACTTGGGTGAAAGCGCAGTGTTGAACCTAAAGCAATATCACAGATGGTGGGTTGATGAAATCAAATGAGGGATGTTGGTAAGTTCAAGGATGGTTGAAATGGTCAAGCAGTAGCGAGGTAGCCTGGATACCTGGATGGTAGTGTAATTGTGCAGCCTATCTGCGAGATTCCAGAAACCAATTAACCGAACGACGGGGGGTTCCACGCTGTTTCAATGTCGCGCTTGTCTACTCGGTGGATGTCCAGATGGCATACTATGTAAGCTATGATGCCTGAAAGATATCCGGATGCTGGTTTCTTGGCCTGTTTGGAAGAGTCTTGGTTTGGGACGGGCACACGGCATCGCATGTGAGCTTGGGCTGCGCGGGGGCCGATTCATGCCATGGTCCGATTACGTCGCCCAGGGACCTGAGCCACAATGACGGGCGGGCGCAACTGATAAGTGATATAGGAGCAGCTGTATGTACAGAATACCCCAGGAAAACCCACTCTTCCGCTGCTAGCTTAGCTGCATTATTCTGTCTACTGATAAGCCCGGTGACGTCTCATGCCAGCCCCGTGCAATTACACCTTCCCGCCGGTTCACAAGTCCGTCCTGCATCCGCTTCCACGCTTTCCCGGGTCGTCGTCGTGCGCGTGTCTCGTGTGAACGAGACCGACAGCGCCCTCCACTGAGCATCTACCAATTCCCAATCTCACCTCACCAGACTGCCGAGACCAACATAGGACGGAAACCCTCTCACATGCCATAACAATGGGTAACTCTCCAAGCCGCGTCACGGCGCAAGATAAGTACGGCCAACGCATCCAAAGTCCAAACCAAAACAGTAAACAAGTCGAGTCGAAACTAACCCCTGCCTCCCTCCCTCCCTTCTCCTTAGAGCAATCCTCGACCTCAAAACCCAGCGCGACAAACTGCACCAATACCAGCGCAAGATCACCGTCCTCACCGACCGCGAAACCGCCATCGCACGGCAGATGTTAACCAAGGGTGACAAGCAGCGGGCGCTCTTGGCTCTCCGCAGGAAGAAATATCAGGAATCTCTGTTACAAAAGACCGATGCGCAGCTCGAACAGCTCGAAAAGTTAACATCGAGCGTGGAGTTTGCGCTGATACAAAAGGATGTGTTTTTCGGCTTGCAGCAGGGGACAAAGGTCCTGAAAGAAATCCATACCGAGATGGGTGGGCTGGAACACGTGGAGAAGATGATGGGGGAGACGGCGGAGGAGATTGCTTATCAGCAGGTATGTATTTCCGTCCCGGTAAAAAAAAAAAAAAAATTTTTTT